ATAACAAAACGATTAGATATGGCATCAGTGGTAATACTGAAACTTTCAGTGAGTGTGCAGAGAACGACTTCATTTGCTTGTACCAACATTATCAGCGTTAGCTTGATTGACTGCTTTACACTTTTGAATCCTCATTATCTCTCTCCAGAGCTTTAAAGATGATCGCCGTGATTTGATGCTGATACTTCAGCGTTTACCTGGAGGAGTCAACTACTATAAACTGCCAAATGTTCATCATGTACACTCTACTGAGAAACAGAAACTACTGAGCTGCATTTCAATACCCTGTAATTAGCACGAAGCTGTCCATTTATGTGAACACTTTCCATTTTGAACAGTGAAAACATTTATCAGAATGATACAAATTAGTCCGTTCGGTCCCACTGAAGCCACTTACTATGCATACATTTAAGGCACTAGTTAAGAATAGTTTTTTTTGTTATTTTGCAAGCTCAGAATTAACCTTAAAGAGCAACAAGTTTCAGTTGCTGTGGTTTATTGAGATGACCATGTAAGCTCTGGCGCTCCTATTTGAAAATTACACACCATTTGTGTATAAAATAATGAATTCATTGACCCATCGGTTGCATAAATGTGCATAATCCTAGGTTTCCGTCGTACAGGTCTCTTTTATTTCGGACTTTAGGACAGATTTAAAAGCTCAGTTTTTTGTGGGTGGCTTCTTGTTTTTACTGAATGAATCAGTTCACCACATACAAACACCTTAGAAATGTAGCGTTCAGCTCCTTGCTTTTTACAGAGGAAAATAGAATTGAATGTACAGACGCACTATATTCAAGGCCCAAATTTTAAAAAACGACTTTCTGACCGAGCAGAGGTTTGTGTCAATGGGTTCTAATGGAGATCCACCACTTAAATGATCAAGATGTGTTGTCCTGATGGAACTGGATGCTTGGATGTAGGGAAAATGTGACGTTTTACTTTCACACATACACACAGTCACTCACAGTTATATACACATACAGACATCCACACATACTGTATACATTTATCCTGAATCCATCCTGTATAACCTCTTCACCATGTGAGTTTGTTTGGTTTTTTTTTTAGATTTGGTGGCAAATGAAACAAGACAGGAATACTATACTATATTATCAAAGACCTTTATGTTTTTAAAAAGTCAAGAGTAGTATATCTGCTTAGTTTTATAAATATATAACTACAGGTGTTATTTTTGACTTCTTGGTATTATATAACTAATTATTATATCCAGAGATGTATGTATAAGCTAATAAAGTGTCTTTATGTAAAAATTACTCATTTTGCCCAAAGTGTTCTTTGTACATATGTGCTCTCATTGCCTTTTGTAGATCCACACATGTACAGTGGAATCATACAGAACTTACAGTCCTTCACTTTTTGCACACATTAAAATTCAATCAATTTCGTAATCCATAATTGCAAAAAGAAATTGACTTCACAAATTGATTTTATTTATTGCATTCATTTATTTATTTTTTTTTTTTTTTAAAAAGAGAAATCTTTCAGTTGCAAATGTATTCAGAATCTCTGCAGTGTCACTCCAAATTATTTGGCGTATGCATCTTGCTTGATTTAATTGTCCTTGGGATGTGTCCAAAAGATGTTTCTGTCCATTGCCGGGCATAGGCTGGAAGGGCACACCTCTGTGTATATGAAGGAAGCACAATGCACATTTCATGTTAGGAGAAGAAACAAATAAATGTCACTTCTGTCCCACTATAATATTTAGGTCAGAGCATGATCACCCTTATGTGGTCTGGCCTGAATACCAGGTGACCGTGCTCAGACCGATTGGTGTCATGGTTCCACAATTCTGGTAGTCAGTACAAACACCACTGGAATTTTTGTTGCCAAATTTGATATCCAAAAATAAAATAATCAATCAATTACACTGATCACAAGGTGTATGACAGGGACCTAACATAATATTAGGCAGGGGGTTTTAATGTTGTGGCTGATTGGTGTGTTTTAACAAACGCTTATTAAGAAAAAGAACTGCAGCACATGCTGATGCATAACATTTTATTTTTACAGACTAAACAGTACAAATTCTAGCTACTTATGTTATGAACAGCACCAAGGTCACCTTATGAGCTATCGCTACATTAGCCTGACCAAGCTAACATCAGCCCTTGTTCACTTTGTGTGGGGATCATTGCATCAACAGAGTTAGTTTAGCAATTATCATTCACTAACACTAACATGACAAGTTGATATAAAATGAACAAATTCTGTGTACGGAGTTGATTGTCTGTCTTTGAGCAACTTAGATAAGTTTGAAGTGTTTCCTCCTGACAATCCAAATCCTCTGTATCATCGACACCGTTTGTATTCTGGCTTCTGGTCTCCACACACAGCTCTTAGTTGCTGCCAGTATTTCACATACTGATGTCTCGTATCTCCTCTCCCTACAGTCAACATCTACCATCTGTACTTTCAGTATCACAAAAAAAACAAGTACAGACACAATTTGAGCATTTTGCCATCCACTTGGTATGGAGGTATCTGTTGTTGTAACAAACATACTCAGATCTTTATAAATGGTGGGGAATTGTAGGTTCCTCAGGGGTAATGTCAGAACATTTGTTTGGACTCCTGCTGGAGTTGGCCATCAGAACAAAATGAGTAACCAAGCAAGAATCTTGGACAGGGAGGTGGTCAAGTCCGAAATGGACACTCTAGCAAATCTTCAGAAGCCCTTTGCAGAGGTGGGAGAACCTACTGAAAGAATAAAAAAAAAAAGAAGTCAGAAAAGTCCAAGAAAGGATATTGAGAGGAAAAACAAACAAACACACCCACAGAGAAGCCAAAATATTATGCCCACGTATAGATGAAGGAGTAATGTTGATTTTCTTGTCTCAGTGGCACATGTGAAGGTCCGAGATACTGTACGTTAGACAGTAAATGAACAGTCAGTTCTTGTAGCTATTGTGTTAGATATGGGAGAAAGGCACAGGTCCAAAGACCTGAACCTCTGCAGCTAGTCTTGTACCACAGCGCACCTTTAGAGGTGTTGTAGCATCCATGACTCTGGGGGTTTGAGCTTTTTCAACAGTGGACCAATGGCATATTAAGCAGGTTGTCATATATTGCACAGATGCTTTCCTAGTCTGGTCATAAACATGGGGCAGCTACTGATATTGTATAAATGAACACTATCGAAAACAACATTTTTGGATTCTTGGTACAATGCATTGGCCATTATTAACTACTGTCAAATAATGCAGACAACACGCCAGTGTACCATGAGCGCTCTAGCTGTTCAAACACATGATCCATTCAGAACCCAACTGCTTCCATTTACTATACGCTAGTTTAAGATGGGGGCTGTTGCTGCTCTGTGGCTGCACACTTTGCTCATAGTCGTCACACCGCTGCCCCATCAATAACTCGCAATGTGTGTATGTGTACAGTAAGTAGCTCAGGCGCTCTTTATTTATTCATTCAATTATAGAGCTACTATGCAGTGTATGTATTTGTATGTGTGTGTGCGCTCTGTGTACAGTGAGCAGATTGATTTCTAGCTGGCTGGCTGCCACAGGAAATGGTCCCCAATTATTTATTAGCTGGGATGGCAAAGGATCAGACACATTTGAATATGAGCCACCCACACAACGCCCACACACACACAGCATAGTAGACCAAACCCACTCTCCTATTTACCGATCATTCTCTCTCTCTTACACACAGTGGATGGAGTAAGTTGCTTATTAAGGTGTGTCACTGTCAGCGTTACAGAATCTCCAAACTCCTACTTTTTCTCTCTCACATACACATATACAGCCCTCAGCACTTGTGGCTTCACTCTGCAATGCAGCAGCGTTGGGCTCCTGGTGTCTCTGTCAGTCTGCCAGTGCGCCCGGCTGTCCCAGTTCCTCCGTGACTGTCTATGGTAGTGAGTCACCGTGTCTGTCTCTGTTGCTGTGTCTGACAACACCCATCTGCTTTCACACAGCTTGTGAATAACTCAGTTACAAGGCCTCAGAGTGTTCTTCTTAGCTACTGAAAGCTGAAAGGAAGCACAGAAGAGTTTGAGAAGAGCACAAAAGTGTAGCTCTGCTCGAACTGGGACAGGAAACCTGCAGGACTGTTTTATGGCCAAAACAGAAAAGGGTTTGGGTTAAACTTAACAAAAGCTTTGAGAACTTTTTGTCTGAGTTAGAAGGAGTTAAGGGATGATAAGTTAATCAGTCCCACTGTGTTTATCCTCTTGGGAAAAAAGACTAAAGAATGACAGTAACATTTCTCTTTACAGGACATAGCAAAGGGGTTTATGGTAGACTTTCAAAATAAACTTCTCAATCACTTCTGCTGTTATTATGTAGTAACTGACAGGTCTGCAGATTTTTTAAAAAACTGATAAGTGGCGATCTGTAGTCTTTCTTCACTGCAAAAGATTATTTTGATGCCATCATTCTCTATCTATTAAAAGAAATTGCATGCAAAACACATGCACGTCCCTGTTGTAAGATGAAAAACACAACCACTCTCATCCTACATGAACACTGCTCCTCTGTTCCCAGCTGCAGATTTAGCTTACAGCTAATATAGACTGCATAATAAAGATGAACTTAGTCTCTGGGTCTGAAAAGTAAAACCAAAAGTGCAGTAAACTTGCTTTCTTTCTACAGCCAGCACAGGGCAACTCCTCTCGTAGTAAAAACATTGTGTAAAGGTCAACAAGAAAATGACTCCACTTCTTCCTTTATCTGTTACCTCAGTGAACATTTTTCTAATGAGTTTTTGCTTGTTTCAAGTCTCCTTTAATGGAGCATAATGGTCCCACTTAGAATAAAATAGACAATAAAGCAGGGTATCTCACAGGGGAGGGTCACGGTCACTGCTCCATTACTGTATGTAGTGTCTTTGGGTTCTGCAACCAAACACCCTGTTTGCTCATCACGTTTTAAAGGATAGCGACAGCCAAATGCCAAACTTATCCCTCAAGATGTGGTTCACAAACCACTAAGTGTTATCATTGTGGCTACCTCTGTCAGGGCCTCCACCTCCATCTTTGCACCAGTTCAATCCTCCCATGGTGCTGGGCGATCCCTGGCTGCGGAAACATAATCCGTTGATTGATTGGAGCAAGGAGGAGGTGAAATCCTGGGGGCCCCAGTGCTATGTCAGCTGCCTTCGTTCCGCTCTGATCCCTGCAGATCCTTGGAACCTTCCAACCCCCACCAAGCCAGTAGATTTGTCTTCTGTTCCTCAAGAATATCATGACCTGGCCACTGTGTTTAATAAGGATGATGCACTTTCTCTGCTGCCCCACAGACCCTACGACCGTGCCATTGACCTCCTGCTCGGTGCCCCGTTACCCAACAATCTTTCAAAACCCAAGCAGACCGCCATGGAGACTTACATTCGGGATTCCCTCACTGCCGGAATCATCCGTCCCTCTTCCTCACCAGTCGGCGCTGGCTTCTTTTTTGTTAACAAAAAGGATAAAACACTCCGTCCCTGCATTGACTTTCGTGGCCTCAACGGCATCACTGTCAAAAACACCTATCCTCTCCCGCTCATCAATTCAGCTTTCACTCCGCTGCATGGGGCCACTGTTTTTACGAAACTGGACTTGAGAATGCATACCACCTGATTCAGACATGCCACAGAGATGAGTGGAAAACCGCCTTCAACACCCCCTTAGGCCATTTCGAGTACTTGGTGATGCCATTTGGACTCACGAAGGCTCCTGTGGTTTTCCAGAACCTGATTAAGGATGTCCTTCGGGATAGGATTAACAGGTTCGTGTTATCTCGATGACATCCATATTTACTCCAGATCTCAAGAGGAACACATCAACCACGTCCGTATGGTGCTCAAAAGGTTACTGAAGAACAGGTTATTTGTCAAGACTGCGAAGTGCGAGTTCCACGTCTCCACTGTCTCCTTACTGCACTATGTTATCTCCAAGAGGGAGATTCGCATGGACCCTCAGAAGCTTTTCTTACAGCTTTTCTGCTCCAGACCTCCAAACTCAACTCCTCTAACCCAAAATAGCTGGGCAAGCCACACTGACCATTCCAGGCCAAGTCCAGCATCACTACCAGACAGCTTTAGCCATTCAACTCACCTGCCTATCTGGAAACCCTAACCCAGCATGTGGCGGCATCCTATGATACTGCCTGACACCACATTAGAAGAGCCCCTTTAGGCCTTGCTCAGCCTCTTCAGAGACTGCAACAATACGTCATCCTTTATAATATTGCTAACTGTGTCTTGTGTTCTCCAAACCAGGGACTCTTGTCACGAGGAAGCTGCTTCTATGGATTCAAGCTGTTCATGCCAAACTGTGAGCCTCATCATTTAAAAGCTCAACAGAAATGAAGTGACATGACCTCTGTCTTTGGCTCTGTCTAGTGGAGCACTTTGGAATTACCCCTACTTTCAAGTGCAACAGCCAGAGGGACAAGTGACCAGGTGTTCGGAGTTGCAATTAGCCAATTGCTCCAGCTGCGGCGAGGCGTGGCTTCACACAGACCTTCACACAGTATTTAAGAAGCCAGCAAGCGACAAGTCGACGTCGGATCGTTGTAAACTCGCTTTTCGCCACGCTCGCTGCATACTGAGATCCATCATTCATCCTCAACTCCTCACCGTTGGATTCTACTGGCTCCAGCTTTCCATCTCCTCTGTGTCCCTCTGCTGAAGTCATCTGGTTCATCTCTGTCTCCTCCGGCTCCCCCTCCCTAGCATTTAGCATTGTGGTTTAACCAGTCTCTCGCCTACTCAATCAGTAGTGTTCATATTAGGTTTGTATCCTTTGCAGTAAGTTTGTTTGTAATTTGTAATTATAGTTTGTCATCCTCAAGAGGATGTTTTGGTAAATTCCTTGTAAGTATTTGTCAGTAGTAGTTAGATTGCTGCTTTGTTTGCCACTGGGTTTCACAATTGGTATTTATATTTGTGAATAAATTTGATCATTGATTTTCAACTGTTAGGTGGTCGTGACATTTGTCTGCGCTTGAGCCTTTGTGTTTGAAATCGTGGCATGAAGATTCATCAGACTATGTTTTTACATCTTCAGCTGTCCAGTTTTGGTAAGTCTGTGCCCAACGTAGTTTCACATTTCTGTTCTTGAGTGACAGGACTTTAACCTGATGTATTCTACTGTTATTGTAGTTCATCTGACATATAATAGTTTGGTGTTGAGTGTATAATCCTTTGAGCAAGTTCCTTTTCTTAGCCCATAGTCCCCTAAGTGCTTTAGCTGCACAGGGACAACTTCCAAGAACTAGAACCTGAAGTACTTCTAGTAAATACCAAAATCCTTCATTTTTCACTTCACTATTTTAAAAGAAAAGGTTTTCTGAGATAATTTTAACCCCATGACAACCTATATCCTGCAATATGATCCATTGTAATACAATAAAATATGCATGCGAGAGTCTGCTTTATCAGAATCTGGTATGTTTTACAGGCTGAGAATGCAAGTCATGAGTTTGCTTTGCCCTCCTACTGCCAGCCCTGGAGCTGAGGGCCTATTTTGGGTTTTGGCATGGAGTTCTAGAGAAGTGGGCAGTTTGATGTCATTTAAAATGCTCTCTTTCTGTCTCTGTGTGTTCTGAATGGGCAGTCATAAGTGAGCAATGGGCAGTGAGGCAGATAGTCAAGCTAAATGTGAGCATATATCCTGTGCACATTAGACCCTCACATCACTGGCATGCACATCCACACAGAAACACACACTCCTTTCTGCCTCATTGACCCTGCTTGTTCTTACATAATTGTCTGCTGAGCCGTGAACAACTGCTGGCTAACGTGACCCCGTCATGATGGTAACAGACCTAAACTCTCCTCCCTTGCCATGATGTGATTATCAGTGTTTCTGCTGGTTCAGTCTCAGTCGCTGGGCTTTGCTAATCCCAAACTGTGGAAACTAATTTTCCCAGTAGTCACTGCAGCTGCTCTGCTTCAAGCATTCACTGAGTTTGTCAGCAAGGAAACCATTTATGACTGAATATTGGTGTTCACCCTTTGTCAGGAGGACAATTTACAAAAGCAAAATGGTGGTATCACTTGAAATTATGAGATATGACACTTTGTGCGCTGCTGTCCCTCATCATGTCTTCACAGGGAGCAGCAAGTTAAGATGCAGGACTGTTTCTCAGCTTAGGGGGAGTGCGCATGTTGGTGTACTTTATGTGAATGTGTGGGGGTGGCTGTGTGGGTGTGTGAGAGACAGCAGCTTGTCAGTTTGAATCTGAAATATACACTGACAAGCTGCAGTCTCTGTTACCAAAACACTAGTAAAAAAAAAAAACCCCTCTACTTTGATACATTGCCAGTTTCTCTGAGTGGTCAGTGCAAGCCTTTATGACAGCAAGTCAGGAAGTA